TGTACGCACTGCTTCTCTGTGCGACTGTGCATCCTGGGAAGGTACTGTATAGTACTACGTAGCCACAGATGTACAGTAGTATATATAGGGGGCCTCTGTACCCCCAATCTACAGTTCAGTTCACTTGAACGTCTCCTCTCATCACTCTAACAAGCCTCTTACAACCAACAACCCTTCTAGGTGAGTTGCAGGCTATCCGCTGTCGTTGCCACCCGTGGGAGAGGCCTTCGCCCCCCGGGTTCAACAGGCTTACTCTAGCTTGATGATCCAGCTAGATCCAGCTTGTCAGCTTGGCTTGGCTTAGCTGGCTTGGCGGCAACACTAAGCAAAGGAGACGACGATGACAACTGCTAAGCATCACTGCAGTCTGCGAGTTTATTGATCATCATTTCGAGAAGCGCCTGTCACCTTAGACGCCAAGGCACCATTCTCCACAGATATCCTCTTTTCTCACTCACTGTGCCATGAAAGCCAAGGACTCGAAGGAGGAAGTATTATGATTGATATGAGACGTTGCCTGATGACAGTGTTGGCTGAATCGGTCCTTGACCCCTTCGAAATCAGACCACGAATTTGGCAATCAAGACGCTCACGAGGCGCATTGAACTTGTGAAGGGCCTGACCATCGCGCCACCCCGGATGTCAACATTGCGCCCGAACTGTAACACTCACTTTCATGCGATCCAAAACTCCGAGATATAATTCAAACTGTCTATGGCCTGACAAATGTAAGAGCGAATAAAATAAGGCTCTATGCCATGTCCATTACTAGTATCCATCCAACTTAAGAGTTCAACGACCTAGGGAAGGTATAACTCAGTCCAGTCATCCAGAGACGCGCACGTTGGATGGACTCACACAGCGGGGATCGTAGTAACAGCGCCTACAGTTACAGATCATCAGATGAGATGAATGTAATGATTGCGCGATCGACTCACCTCCGAGCACAGACACCGTGGGGAAAGGAGTCGAAGAGCATGCAGCTTGGATGTCATCCGTAGAGAGACCGGCGGGGATGAACGGATCGGCCACAGTGCCAGTTGCAGTGGGGATGACATCGGAACAATCGGTGAGTGTGGACTGGTCGAAACCGAGCAGTGAGAGCTTCAGCATGACCTGTTCAAAGCGCGCCAGCATGTTCGCACGGTCTGCTGCAGAACGCAACGTTGTTACAGATTCAGATCCCGATGCTATTGCTTAGGCCACGCACAGATCATCTTCTGCCACTCGCAAGAGGTACGGTCATCCCTGTAAGTCGATGAGTTCAACTCAATCCCGGCGCTGCTACGGCTAATGACAGTTCCACTCACCGAGCAATCAGGAAGTCAGACTGCAGGCGGAACTCTCCGGGATAGGGCGACAGTGCCTCGCCGGGACTAATACCGTTGCCGGGCGTGATTGTACCGTTCAATAAGGTCTCAACGAAGAACTGAGCGTCGAAATCCGAGGGGGTTGAGTCGAGCGGAGTGCCAGGAATCGACTACAGCACAAAAGAGTGCATCAGGACACCCATCCTTTCACATATTGTGCCGTAACTACTCACGTCGTCCACACTATCCTGAGCGCCGACCGTGTGAGAGATGAGGAGCCAAACGAGCTCAACGGCGTTGAAGCCAGCATTGCCGACCCGGTTCAGAATGGTGGTGACATCGTCAGACGGGAGAGGGACGAGACCGTGGGGAGCAGCCTGCGAGTCGTTGGAACGACCGGTAAAGAAGGAGATCTGTGGCCCTCCATTGCAGTTCGAGACACCGACAGCGCCGGCGAATTGAATGCTATCAACAAACAATATCAGTGCATCGGCATTAGTGTGAATGCGCCCAGGAGAGCGTACAAGTCGCCGAAGGAGACATTGTGCTTAAGGGCAAACGGACACTGAAACTCGATGATGTCGTCGAGACCGTTGTTCGCAGGGTCAGCCAACTCATCAGAGCTATGCGCCATGATTGAGCCGTCTACAGACACATCTAGAATGACAATTACGACAGGTAAAGATGCAGTGCTTACCGGCACCTCCGCCACTACGAAACCGTCAGTACTCAGCGACCAAAAGAGATTGCCGCTAAAGCTCACCCGAATTGACCTGCAGCTGTAAGAGCAGGGGAGAACACGATTGCGTCATGGAAAGTCAGCTGCCGATCATTGTTTAGTGTTTTGTCCCCTAGTGGACGGAGTGTCCTCACCCTTAGGGCTTCGTGGGCATCCTCGCCACACTGTCCGCCATGGAACCTGTTCAGGAGCGTCATTACAAGGCGATGCACCGAGTATCGAGAAACTCACAGATTCTCTTGGATGTCATCGAGAACATCGAACCATATGCAGCACTGCTCCGACCATCAGTGGTACGCTCCGCATAGCGGCAAAAAGCCACATACCGCGGCGTTAGCGGTGGTCCGGCCACCGTTGCACGTCGCACGCTTGCTCACCGCCGGGGCGGCGGCGACGGCGACCGACACAGAGAGGACAGCGAGCGAGATGACAACTCTGAAAAGCATGGCGAGATAGCGCAAGTTATACGAGAGTGATCGTGCTGCTGTCCTCGAGAGAAATGGGTACCTGCCGATGCGGATACCTATGTTTCCTGCATCGACTTTATACTGAGGTCTTCAATCGGAAGTCGCAATGCGCGCTAGGTTAGCCGTACCCGGCTCGGGAGCGTATCACCATCGCATCCGTACCGTCGGTAGAAGAAACGCTTACAACTCCTAGTCAGACGTGGAGATGCGTGAATCGGGCTAGACCTGACATGCCCCGTCACGTCAAATGGCAAGACGCTGATTGGCATATATGTTGTCGCATCTTCGAGACGTGTGTAGAGCTTCGGCTATTACATGGCCGCGCGGATTGTGTGGGCAAGATGTACACTACCAGAGACGTGGTGGCGCAGACATACCGGCTGTAAACGAGTTCCCGCTGCGGCCTTTAGCAAGCACTTTGTCTCAATATGTGATCAGAGGACAACACTGAGTCGATCGTGAGCGACAAGCCAAAAATGAACTTTGTCCAATGTAATTGACATGGTCAGGCCGAATCCATGAAGATCAAAAGAGGTCGATTGGCGGGACCAGAGCAGCCATCTGGAAGGCGAAGAGATGAGAAAGAGGTTGTTGCGCATGCGCAGCAGAAGTACGTACATTGAAACGGCGTAGTCAGGACCAAAATGGACGCAACCGTCGGCGCATGTTACACCGTAGGCTGACACGCAGTGGATAGACACTATGACGTCCCACATATGTCAGTCGTATGTTAACATGGCCTGGGAACTCCTCAATTCATCTTGACTAGAGGGCGATTCGATGGTGTCAAGTATTAGGGAGGTGGGCTGAAAAGCTAGCAGTCAAATGAGCAGCGATGTATCCCAGAGTGCGATTGTCGGATAGCGTGGCTCCGCCGAGATTCGGGTATCATGCAAGCCTTCTCAGCCTGAGAGGCGAACGAAGGGAAACGCGAAGCGAAGGAAGTAGTGAAGACATAGGATCATAGGCGGTAGTAAAACGCCGCTAAATTTGTGCTTAGCGCCTTTAAGCTGAAGCGTTCCAGTCACCTGGTCATCTCTCGATCCAAATGTCCCACATTCCGCTATCTCATTTTTGGTGATGTACCGCTACGGATGATTTGGATGAGCGTGCATAGGACCAGATCCATGTGAGTAGTGTGTTGGTCTTGCCCGATGAACCAGTAGTAGAGTGTATGATCGGAACGGCGGAAAACTACGATTCAGACATAGGTGTATCAACAATAGTTTACCCAGTCACATATCTCACGATCCATTTGCCGTCCGGATGTGACGCAGCGACGACATGTCCGGAACACAACTCACCACATAGACGAGGACGACGATACTCCCCTACGCGCCTCGCCCGCCGTCCGAAGCTTCGTGCTAATCTAGCGATTGATCTCGAAGGCAAAACGCTTGCTCCTTCCTTGAATCCCGAGAAGCGTTTCATCCTCCTCTTGCGCCTGGCACAACACATGTAGTCGAAGATGGCGGCAGTGACGGAAGGGTAGCAAAGCGTCAGCATATTGCTTGAATGACCATGGACGTGTTGGCTGCCCTCTTCAACTGAGGGTTGGCAGGGAGAACAATAGGATCAGAGTTGTCGAGGGCGTGTCCCAACATTGACGCGCCGGTTACCTAACTCAACGGTGCGAGCGATCTGCGAACGCGGTGGGGCGAAAGCACTGGCGTGCCGTGAGCTGAGATATAGGCGATGCACTGCAGATTCAGCCGGAGCGAGACGGAAAAGGAACATGAGACGCGTACCGCAATTCATGAGAGAGCAACACGTCCCGTGGTCCTGACACGAGCTTAGGGCACAAGTGGAATGTGGCGAGATGGCGACCAGGAAATCATTCAGAAACTCATCTGCATCAGGAAAACGTCACGGACTTGTACAGGTACTTGGGGTACTTGGCCAAGTACCTCAAGTATCCCAAGTACCTCAAGTACCCCAAGTCCAATGGACTTGGCCAAGTCGGGTGGGTCGACTTGGCCAAGTACCAGGTACTTGGCCAAGTCCTCCAAGTCCCTGTTCAAGTTCATGCCCAAGTTCACTGTGAGATGTATTGAATAAAGATGATATGCATGGAAGTCAATCAAAGGACAGCTGCTCTTGATCAAGGTCAAGTGTAC